GAATTTCCAACAGTGCCACCTAACAGATATTATGTAGTTTCTGCATTAGTATTTATTTAATCTGGGGGCCTTCGGGAGTTGTGTTGCCAATACTTTTCTGCATTCTTTAATATGTATGTGTGTGCTCTGCAAAGAAAAAAAAGAAGATATGCAAATTTGTTAATTTGTGTGAAACATACTGGGAACTCCAATGTGGTTTTCAATGAAGCGGATGTAGTTCTGTGCCTTGGCCGGGAGGTCGTTCCACTTCCTGGCTGCAGACGTGTCCGTCTTCCACCCAGGGAAAGTCTCATACTCAACCTCCACTTTTTGCAAAACGTCCATGTTCGCTATAATTAAAAGAGATCAATTACTATTAATATTTACACACATGATTCATATCATTAACAAAGCAGATTGGTGGTTCTTATTCTATAAATGGTTTATTTTGTTAATTACCTGGGAAATGCGGAATTCTTTTTCCATTGAGTTTGTAGGCGACTCCCACTTTAATTTCATCCAGCACGTCCAGAATGTCAAGTTTTGTCAAAGCAATGCTGTTGGACAGGTGACAAGCAATAGGAACATTTTTTTTAAATGTGCCGCTTATTATTACTATAATACGATGTATGCAGGAGTAATCTAAATGTGCTCATGTATGGTAAATCTGCTTCAATATTCGAACACAAAAAACTGCTGATTTGGCTCAACTTTTCTAGCCACTCACGCGCTGAAGCCATTGATCATGTGAGCGTATCTGACGATAACAAGATCCAACCAGCCGCAACGCCGCTTCCTTCCTGTGGTCACACCCACCTCGTGCCCCCTCGTCTGCAGGAGTTCTCCTTCTGCCTACAGTACGACGAACAGGAAAAATAAACATGACTTTAATAATAATGAATTGAAAGCATGTCAGACATGTAATACTTTTACAAAAACCTAAATATATGCAATCTTTACACAAGTTACAAACACAGCTAAGTACAATAAAACTTCACACAGGCTGGGGAGAGTAAATGTAATCTTCTTGACCTATGTCTGTGCGGTCAGCTCCCGTGACAAGTAATATTATCCGAGCTCAAACAGTAAATATATCTTTGGCCCTAAATTTATCCCTATGAACATTTGACCTGCATGAGAAGTAAAGAGCGTTTGAGCCCGTCTCTCACAAAATGTGACAGCTGCACTCTGCCAGTGCGGGCCCCTCCACCAGCCCTGCTATCTGTGTGTCAGCCACAAACAAACTGTAAATGTCAAGCTCAATATGAGGGAGTTACATAACATGCCATGTGTCTATTCATACAATATGAAGGCCAAGAAAGCACATACATGTGAGAACATCTAACCCAGTAGTTCTACAGACTTCCCTGTGCAACATGGAGCTCTTACGTTGAGTTGTTCGGTGGGGAATGCTCCGATTCCCACTCTAGTGGTGTAGGCCTTTGATACACCGTACACATCCCCAATATTCAGCGGAGGGATGCCAAGACCAGTGCAAGCCCCGCCCACAGTGCAGTTTGATGATGTCACAAAAGGATATGTGCCTAAGAGAAAAAAATTCTCTATTTCACTAACTCAGATCCACTGGAAAAACACATTTCAAAAAGCTACAAATAACATAAACTACAATCTATATTATATCTTCTGGCCCTACCAAAATCAATGTCGAGGAGCGCAGCGTTCGCCCCTTCAACCAAAATCTTCTTTGGGGATCCGTGAAGAGCTTCATACATGTAATAGACCCCGTCTCTCACCATCGGCCGCAATCTCTCACCGTATTCCTACAGTAAAGAAGGAAACATAAACGTTTTCGTTAATGGAAGAAATGACGATGACTTATCTCTTTTGTAGTATTTAGCTTCAATGTCTACCTTGAGTTTTTTCAGTTGGTCATCAACGTCAACTTTCAAGGATGGATACATGGATTGATGCTGGTGGACGAGGTTCTTAAATCTGAAAGGAAACAAAATCGTCAAACATGTCACAATTACAGTATTGGTCTTGGTGTTTTTGGAAGTTTCCCTTGTAACATACCTCATGGAGAAGTCCTTAAAGTCTCCCAGGAGGTCACATACGCGCAGGCCGGTGCGAGATGCTTTGCTGGAGTATGCAGGTCCAATGCCCTTCTTGGTTGTTCCAATGCTGTTATTATGGAACAGGAAGTTGTGTAAAAATGAATGGAATTAATATTGCTTATTCTGATTGTGGTGTACTATGGCAGATTATCTTTGGCCAAAATGTCGGCAGTTCTCCCAAATCCTTACTTCTTTCCTTCTGTTGCTTGTCTTTCATTTTCCTGTATGCCATCAACAACCTGGTGGAAATCAAACACTGGGGAGGGACAGCAGACAAGTCATTAAAAAGTCCCAATGAAATATGATTCATGCTTATTTGAATAATGTAAACCTCCATGACATACTGAACCTACCAATGTGAGCTCTGTCTGAGACAATAAGTCTCTTCTCCCAGCCTTTCAGACCTGGTAAGAGAATAGAAGTGACGTTTATGTGAGTATACACTAGTCTGAATTTACACTGGGGCATTATGTGCGAATTGCATTTCCTTTTAAAATACCTTTCTTGTCATTTTTATCGCCTTCCTCAAACAGGCCGGGTAGATGAATGACCACTCCATTGCCTAAAAGAAGAGGACAGGAATATGAAGACAATAATATTTTTTAACAATGCTGTCTCAAAAGAGCTGAATATATAAAGCCATTACCGATGAGTGATATGCTTTTGGTGTTGATAATTCCACTGGGGAGAAGGTGGAAGTCATACTCCTTGCCGTCCACCACCACCGTGTGTCCTGCATTGTTGCCACCCTATAAATAAATGCAGGGTACACACTGTATCATGGTGTGATACTGAATACTGTCAATGTTAAGGAGAGGATCTAATCAAATACAGTGTGGCGTTAACACCCAGGACCCCCACAGAAAATCCAGCCACATACACACGTCTCGTCTTATTTTCTTGAGACGGTGATAAGCCACCCTCTTGCCAGTTCTCTTTCCCAGCACCTATTTTAACAGACTTGGCTGTTGTTGGTGGATCCAACTGCTCTAATTTCCCCCTGGCTAAATCCTGGCCTTCTCACATATCAAGCCACCCTGAGAATGTGACCTCTCTCTTGCCCATTGGGTGGGGCTATCAAGCCTCCAGAACACAGGGTGCTGTTCCTATCAGTGGAGAAAGTACAACACAGCAACTGTTTTGCAGATTTCCCCTTGTTTTACAATGCATGAGTGACCTTTGATTTCTGTTTACGGGGTTATGATTACTATGTGACAGAAACTGACCTGGTGAAGTTGTTTTTATTAGGACATGATGGCATCTCAAATTCAATCTCTTTGTGATCAAGTGAATGAGACAGTCAGAGCAACTGTACACAAGGTGGAGTTAATTCAACTTGATAGATATTTACATGTGCTAAAAATGATAAATAACTGAGTTTACAAATGCCAAAACTAATTTGGCATTTGTAAAATACCTTGAAATACGTATATGGCCACAGACAGTTCCCTAGTTCTTACGTCACTGAGTGCAATTATGAAACCACAGCACAGTCTCAATATGGTTTATTGTAATAATCAATAAGGCTACGTGCTATGGCTTCAATTATTCTCTAAAACATTTCCCATATCACAGAGGAACAAGTGTTTTTGCACCTGTTGCGCTTTAACAGGTTGCAAGTTAGTAACAGCATGTCATTTTAAATGAAAAATGTCTTACAGTGATAATACATTGACACGCCCCTGCTAAGGCTTATCACGAAATCACGAATCAAAGAGGCATTTACCTGACATCTGCAGACGAGATCAGCTTCAGTCGCCAGCAAATCGACCACCTTCCCTTTGCCCTCGTCTCCCCACTGCGCACCGAGCACCACAGTCGCTTTGTTCCCCGTGTCGTTGCGCGAACGCTTGTGTCCGGTCGCTGCGGCTTGATTCATGTTTTTGTGGTCTTTCGCCGACCAGGTTAGCGACATGACGGCGGTAGCGAGGGCCAGCCGTTCTCAAGAAGACTAAGCTGGCTCCAAGAGTGGCATTCCCATATGTGTAACTTCATAGTCGGTGATGTCAGAGGCAGACGCAGTGCGTGGCAGCGCGCGACCGACTTGTCTCCAGGACTGCAACGACAAAATAGCCTCAACACAGCACAGGGGATGAATGGAAGTGGATTCACTTATTAAAAAACATTTATAACATGTTTTATGCAGCCTGCACATGAGGGCTTTCTTATTGATTATATTTGGGTCAACTTTGAGGATGGGTTTGAAGAAATGAGTTTGTTCTGTTTGATACTTTAATGGATATTCACTACATAGCTTCAGTTCAGCCTACTGTATGCAGTCAGTGAATGGTTAGCTCACCATGGGCCAGCAATTAGAGCTAACCACAACAGGTTTTTTCTTAGAGAACATTAGTTATTATATATATGATATATATATATATACAATACAAATAGGACCCACCTCTTTATTGTATTGTAGGGCTTCTGCTATAGCATCTGTATAGAAATGGGCAATTTAGTCAAATACAATTGAAAGAAAACTATAACTCTGTAAAGAGTTGTGATCTTGTCATGTGTAGAACAACCATTTTGCATGTATTTGTAGTCATAATTTGACAGGAAATGGAAGCAATTGAAATTAAGCTTTTCAATTGGAAACCGCTGAGTTTCATAAAGTTCATATAAAACAGAAAAAGCATCCAAATACTATAGGACGTGTCCTACTTGTCAAGTGCAGTCAAACAGTACAGTTCTGCATTGATTTTGAGTTATAAGGTACTATGATATGCAAAATATTGAAAGGAAATGACACTGCTAAATTTTCATAAAGATATCAAGCACTAAAATCCCCCCAACAAGAGTGTCCTATATTTCCAGAGTACTAATAGAACAAGAAGTAACTGCTGAATCATTAAAAAAATACTATAAAATAAAAACTGATGAATAAAAAAGAGGTGTGTCTTGTCCAGTGTATTCTTATAAGACTATATTCAACACAAACAGATGAACAGTAAATTCACTTTTATTAAAATATATTTAACAACACAATTCACAATCCATTAAATATCCTTATATTTTCCTGTTAGAGATCATCTGGATAATATACATAGAAATTAAGACATTCAAGAAGTTTTGTTTTGATTAGTTAAATTAAATATCTTGCACCAACAACACTGCATCTTTCTTTATAAGGTGCTGAAAAGGTAATAGAGCGTAATGCAAAAACACATTCACTTCATATTACAACAATTGTACAAAACATATAAAGCCACTTTTTTTCAATAGATCAGAATCAAAAACACTCACACACAAATTCCACAACTATTTACATAAAGAGACATTTGGAGATCCATGTTCGGAAATCCCAGCCTTAAGATGTGTTTACTCTTCTTGGTCATGTAAAACAAATCATTGCAAAAGGAAGACTTCTGCATCCTCTTCAAGGAGTCAATGCTCATGTAGTTTCACAAACTAATAGTATTGTAGTCCTTCCAGTTCACAACTCCTGTGCGATATTAACATTTTCTCTTTCCTCTCGATTTTCTTTTTCTGGAGTAACCTATGGAAACAAAGACTAAAATGAATAAATGGAATCAAAATATATCCAATTAAAAAGCTTTAATAAAATGTTTATATTTACAAAAGGGGGAAACAAATATTGCTTTAAAATACACCTGGCAAAAAACAAGCCTATTGCTTTAAAAATGTTAAATATTTCATTTGTTTTTTAGAGTGGCAAAAACTTTTTTTTATGCATTTACATACAGCAACCATCATAAAAAGCCAATTCAGAAAGCACACGTTACAGGAAGCACACCAGAACACGTTAGTACGATGAACAATCCCAGTTGCAGATTTGAGGAATGGACAAGAAAATATGGAAGGATAGACACAAAAGTGGCAACTTTCATGAAGTAACTTGGTCCACTATGACGTCACACACACTGCGAGGCGGTTTGAAATCAGAAAACTGATGCTAAAATTCAATAATAAAGAGGATTACTTTCTGTACAAAATTAAACTTTTTGGTTTAGTTTGTTGTTTGTGAGTTATGATTGTTAAAATTACCCACATTATTCTTGCTTGATAACTGAATTGTAAAAAAGTGTTAAAGAGAGCCGGTGTTAAAAGCTGAACAACAGAGAAAAATGAAATCCAGATTCCAGTTAGACCAACAAATGACGTGTTATTTGGGACAACGTTTCGACGGCGAGTGTTTTCATTAGGATGATGTTTCTGCTTACAGTTTGCCATCCCATCGATTTGACCTACCTCACTGCAACACACAGTCTTTTTTATGTTTAGTGTGTCCTTTCTCCCTGTTACCTTAAGATAAGATAAGATAAGATAAGATAAGATGGTACTTTATTGATCCCAATTTGGGAAATGTTTTTGTTAATACAAATACAAAGACTAAAAAAGAAATACATTTGTGTTTCAGAATGGAAAACAGAGTATTAAAGAACATTTTCTGCACACTGCATAGTCTTTAATAAAATGCTTAGGAATACACAGTAACATAGCCCATACATAAAATATAAAATGTTAAATGCAATAAAAACACAACAAATATGAATTTCCCTTTAATAGGCATCAAGAGACTAGCGTTCCCAACATGCGTTTTATTAAATGTAATGGAGAGGTTACCTGGATTCTTTTTGTTTGGTTTAAAGAAGCTCCTCTTTCTCTTTGGTTCGGGCTTAGGGGATGGAGGCAGTGCTTCAGACACTGACGGCAGATCTGGTGACACCAGTCCATCGGGAACATCAAAGTCCTCGATGCCCTCACTGAGTGTAGTCACAGACGTTTTCACAATAATGCACTTCCTCTCTTCTCGCCCCTTCTCTTGTCCTACAGTCTCTGCTAAATGGCTTATTTTATTACTAATTTCTCCTTCTTCATCTCCCGTTGTGTTTCTCTCACTACTCGGCACATTGTTAGCATTCGGTAAAGGACCTTCCTTCATATGAATATCTACTTTAACATCCACTGGCTCTTCGGGAATCATCTTCTCAGACGCCAGGCTGGGCGTGCCATCCAACACAGCTTCTAGCAGGTCAGAATCGGAGAGGGAAGTCGGGCTGAGGACGCTAGCCTCGGAGGAATCCGGTGAGAAGCCATTTGTGGGGAAACATGGTTGATGTTCCGCTTCAACCTGAGGCTGAGGTTGCATCGTATCTCGTGAAGACACTGCGGATCCCTGTGGGTGTAGCCCACCCTGCAGCGACGCAGGTCTTACCGGGGGTGCCTGCTTCATCATGGCCGGTTCTCCTGGGGGTGCCTTGGGAGGTGCAGCTGGTCCGTCTTGAACTGCACCCTGAGGTGCTGGAGGAGTCTCTTCTGACGGGCTGAGGAAGCCGTTCACTCCGCTTGTCTGGGGCCGTGGACCCTCTGGCGGAGGTTTGGAGGGAGCGAAGGTGACGGCTAGTTCTGCGGCTTTTTTTTCGACAGGCTTCACACTTGACCCTGAGAGGGAGAAGTAAGCAGTATTTGATGGTGAAGCTTAAAACCAATATTATCTTATAAGTGTGGTGATGTCTTAATATGTGCAAACGCTGCATGAAAATAAAATGCTCTCCATGCAAACAACCGCTAATATAGATCGACAAAGCAACTAATCGAAGGAGCTATAGCTTATCAAGGTGGCAGAAAGCGCAAATAAAAAAGCAAAGGTAAAGCGGCAAGGCTGTGTTGTGGCTCGCAGTAAAGTGGCTCGGGAGCGGAGCTAGGAACTGCGGATGGAGGCCACAGTCTCTTGTCCTTACCAGATGGGAGGGTATCCCTACGAATTTCACTAGAAGGGAGGCTTTCCGTATCGCACCTTGGCCTGGTCTTTCTGAGGCTGAAACCTTTTCTGATATCCGCCAGGAGGTGATCGATGATGCAGTCGTCGTCCTGCGGCACAAAGCCTTTCTTGACTGGTAACCGAGAGGTAAAAAGAGGGCTTTACTTAAGGTATTTTGTAGTACACAGTGAAAGAAAGCAGGCCTCTTCACAACTTACTGATTTTTCCATTCTCTCCCTTCTGTCTCTTGGACTCTTCATCTGCCAGCTGCTTCTTCCTCTTCTCCGCCTTGGCTGCCAGCTCTCGTCTGGATTTGTTTTCCTGTTATCATGAAAGTGAGGATTTGTCACTTAGCGATTTGTCTTCGTATAATTTGGACAGAGTAATATATGAACATTTTCAATTTATTCATCCCAAAGAAAACACTCCCCACTTATCCAATAGGAAGGCTTGACTGGGACCTGGTTTTAAAACTACACAACGAAAACATTCAGTGTTTAAACGACTATAAGGGTTTAATCACAGAGAGTCATATCATGAACAACATCAACAAAGTATCTTCACTGACCTTTAGTGCCTTGAGGAAAAGTCCTCGGAAAGTTTTGATGGCTCCGAAGAGTTCCTCAAGCGACAGCTGGTTGACATCTTCACATAAGTAGAGAGCCAGCTCACTCTTTGTCTTCTCAGTCTCCGTTAATGTTTCGGTCAAGTCCTGACATGCCTCCAGACTTTCCTGCAGATGAGGGAATGGATAGAGTTATATGAACAGCTCCCACAAGTTATCACATTTGGCTCCATTTGTAGCCAAAGAAAAAATAATGATCATACCTGAAGAATGTTTCCGTACTGCTCCTTCACCTCTTCGTCAGAGTTGGAGACCTTCTTAGCCGTCTCATTCAGACGTTTTAGTAAGGCACTGGCTTCTGACTGAACAGATTCCAGACTAATTCTGTGGATAAAGTATCTCATCCACTTAGGAGCAATTTAAAAGGAAAAAAAGGAAAAACCTCAGCGAAAGTATATGTGAAAGGTTTACATACCCTGCTGCTTTTTCACAGATCTCTATATCATCTGGCAGCGCCAACAGCTCTGGGTGGTTCACCTCTGCTTCCTTCCAAAAAAAACAAACACGAAGTAAGCAATCAAACAAGATCCCAACTGAGATAAAGAAATGTTAGCTGTGAGCTACTTTGTGTACCTCCAGGATGTGATGAAGCAGCGTAATGCGGCTCTTGTTGGCCTTGGTCTCTGTGAGTTTGAGCAGAGAGCTGATCTTGAACCCTGCAGCGTTCCCTGTGTGACTTCCCTGAAAGTAGATGGATGAATGAAAAAATGAAAGCTCTGTCTAAATATAAGCTTAAATAAAATGTATTCAAAAAAGAGCTTCTTACATAATTGAGAAAATTCCCAACGTCCAGGATGAGCTTGCAGAAACTGGGCATGAGCGTGCTAGTTCTCAGGGCTAAGATATTGGTTACATTGCGTTAATTTGAAAATAGGGAAATTACATCTTGAAATAAAATGAAAACTACATGCATGTTACAAGCTGTGAAGGGCCTTGGGTTTACTTACACTGGCAGGCCTCCGCCACCAGCTTGGCTCTAGGTTTGAGCATATCCAACACTGATGAAATCTCCTCACATAACAACATGCACTCAATCCTCAACTGATAACTGGGGAAAAGAGCCAGAAAGCAAAGCAAACAAGGAGCCAAGTTATGAAATATCAAGCATGCACTTTATCAACAGTGAAATCAGAACCGGCGTGACAAATAATTACCAGTTAACAGTGAGAAGGGAGGTGTAGAATCGGTCAACATTTGCCAACTTTTCTTTGTCGCCTTGAAAGGACTTCAAATTTTCAATCTGCGTGAAAGATCAAGACAGTGATTCAGACAGGTTTGCAAAAACAAATCTCTAGGTAATGATGGAGAATAGGTAAAGAGTACAAACCTCATGGCTCTCTGGTAGGAGCTTCACAAGCTGTTTCAGCACCTCTACGTCAAACTTAGTACGGTCCCCATTCTGAATCATGGCTACAAAGTCCTCATTTTTGCTGGACAAAGAAGATTACAAATATTGTATTTTATATGAAATATTATGCATTTAAAAAAAACTGCAAAACATGTCAAATCTTACCATTTGAACTGCTTTAGGAATATGTTCAAATTCAAGTTTTTCTTTGGATCAATGAATGTTATCTGATAGGAAAGAAAAGACAAGTTAAAAAGGAATATTGATTGTTCAGCTTTGATAATCTGGCGTTTGTTGTTTCGAGCCGTGTCGAGTGTTGACCAAGCACACCTCTTTAGGCTCCTTCTTGACAGGAGCAGCTGCCCCCTTGTCTTTGTTCTCGGTCACCGGGAAACTGAACAGCTGCTCGATACTGCTGTAGTTCGGCTCCCTAGAAGAAGGCTCACCCTGAACCGTGGCCCACATGGAGTGACCATCTGTGTGTGTGTGTGTGTGCAGGAAGAGAGGAAGCTGTAATGAGCTCATGTGGTTCCATTTTGTATAAACATCCTACCATGGCTGATCTAAAAGTGGGCCATCTCTCAAAAACACCCACATTTTTGTTCATCCAACATTTTCAGTCAGTAGTGATGTCTTTATATGTCAGCTCTAAAACTTAAAATATAGTAATTTCTGTCATTTTGCAACAAAAATTACTTAAAAATAAAATCAGTAATCACAATAGATAACCATTATTTTCGTTCAATCGACTAATCATAGCAGCTATATTATGTTAAAATCAATGCTCCATCCCCATCAACTATTCTGGAGTCATATGCGTTCTATCAAAAGCATCACACACATTTCCCATAATGCTGTTCTGTTTAAAACAACAAAAAAAAAGTTCTAAAAGTTGTGATAATATATCCGATCTTGACATATTGAGGAAAACATTTAAGATAAGAGATTTAGGATATGTAAGTGGCACCACATTCTTTAAATCAGATTGAGCGAGGGCCTGCTGCCCTTATGACCTCAAAAGACTAATTACAGAAGCATCTGAAAGTTTGATCCACTCACCCGTAACCGCACGCAGTTTCTGCCAGTTGAGCTTTTTCATCCTCAGGGTGGGGCATCGGTGGGCCTTGGTGGGGGCAGCGGACCCCAGGGACTGACTACCCTGAGCTACTATCATGCCGGGGGGAGGCGGAGGAGCTGGCATGCCAGGTAATGGAGGTGGTGGTGGTGGGCCGCAACCCATACCAGGTAATGGAGGTGGTGGTGGTGGGCCGCAACCCATACCAGGTAATGGAGGTGGTGGTGGTGGGCCACCACCCATGCCAGGTAAGGGAGGTGGCGGAGGAGGTATACCGAGACCACCAGGCAGTGGCGGTGGTGGTGGAATTCCAGGCAAAGGCGGAGGTGGTGGGGGTCCACCAAACCCCCCAGGTAGTGGTGGAGGAGGAGGTGGGCACTGGTTAGAAGGTTGGAGCATACTTGGGGTTAGAAGAGGACGTGGAGCAGAGGCACACAGTGGTTTCTGAGAGGATGTTAAGCTTTTCTCTGACTTCTCTTCATCCCCACTATCTGCGTCAGTCTGGACCCCCTTATCCGCCCTCCCGAGCTGCCCGTCCAGCTCGTGCTGACCCCTGCAGCTCTTGCCCTTGGAGAACAGCAGCCGCTGCATGATCTTCTCAGAGGACTCCATATGAGCTGCGGCACAAATCCAAACACACACAGAGGAACCCAATTTCAGTACTTCTCTATAAAACAAAACGCTTTTAGTCATCCAGTCAACATCTGCATGTATTTCATTGCTATGATCCATATCCTGGGTAATCACTCCCCTTCACACATGGATAGCTGAGGAGGCCATTAGCTATAGCCATTAGCCTCTCCAGAGATCTGACCTGAAAGTGAATGAATTGCTGCTTTAGTGCTGACTCACAGTCCTGGGCCAGCAGTATGGCTCTGTTAGTGATGGACTCCAGAGCCTGCCAGATGTCAGAGTGGTCCGGCCCGAGCAACAGCAGCGTCTGCAGGATGGACAGCAGCTGCATGGAGGCTGGGGTGCTGCTAACCTGCACACATCAGCACATGCATACAAACAAATTAAGACAGCATGTCCTGTTTACACATTTAAGTCTAACAATGTGTGCTAGCGCCACAAAGACCTGATGAAACAGTTTAATCAGACATTATATCCTTTTTGCAACAACTATAACAACTAGCAGAGAGACAGTCTGCTCTTACCTTGTTAAAGAGAGTAGTGAACACCTCCAGGTGATCACTCATGTCGATACCCCCATAGACCCTCAGCAGCTCCTCCTCATCTTCAGACATTGCCTCTTCAAAAGCTTCCCATTGAATAATTAAGTCTTCATCCTCCTCCTCCCTGCACACAACACACATACACATCACTGCAGGAGAACACTTCAGCACAAGGGCCGCAAATGACTGTCACTAATCGACACAAATGGCAACATCAGTTATAAAAGCACCATTTAACACTCAATGGTAATGGAATTTTAAAAAAGACCTTTAAAGCTCAGAATTCATTTGTTGCATAAATCAGCAGTAAAGTCTAAACATGAAAAAAACTAATGGGAACAAAAAGATGGAAGACTCACCTTAACTTTGGCAGAACATCAAGTAACTGAAGACCTGCGACACAACATGAAACACAGTTCTGAGTACCACAACACTCAATCATCATGTTTTTTTAAGGAAGCTTATCTCCACAGTCTCTCACACAGCAATCCACATATGCTGGTTTTGGGGCAATTGGTAGGAAGTCACAGGTGAGCAATCACAAAAGAGGAGTGGCCCAACAAAGTGCTGATTGGTCAAAGGTGCTAGGTTGCATTGTATTGCATTTAGGAGGGTTTATATAACTGAAAGTAAGAAATATTGGTCAAGCTATCTTGACTCAGTTGATTTTTGGCAGTTAAGTACCTTATTGTATTGATAGAAAAAAAGTTTGTGACCAGTACATGCTTGGAATAGACTCAAAAGGCAATAAGAAAGAATAATCCCCAATTAAAAATGCATGGACTGGTAGGGAGTTTCATTCAAAAGTTATCATCAAATATCACATTATCTCTGTGTGATTTTATCAATGTAATAGTTGTACAATTTTCTTGAAATATAACTTTTGATAGCTACTATTATTGGTGTAAAATGCATGAATGCACAATGATTTTTGACACTTTTTTTTCTTCCAAATGAGAATGAGGCCATTAGGCCTATTCTTAGGCCGTCCCAGTGACAGAGATATTTGTAATAGAGATCCTGCTGATGGCCTGCTTTCCCATCTGCATTCACTCTCTGCACCGAGGGGAGACACTGTTGCAGTTCACCACAGTGAGAATTACTCATGGTGGGACCTCAAGGTAATGTTAGGGAGACAGGTGAATAGGGTGACATTTTAAACATCAGGTTCACCATGGAACTTCCAAACATGATTTCATTCACTATGAATGTTCTTTTTATATTACAAGTTTTCTAAAACGTTATGTATAAATATGCAAATGAGGCATTTTCCTTAAATATGTGCTTGTTTGAATACACTATCAGAAAAGTAAACATTGGATAAAGCCACTTTCAGGATTCTTGTTTTATTTGTTGCGATTTTAGAGCCAAACGTTTTTTTAACAGAGGGAATTAGTTTAATCTCACTGGCCCAGTAAGAATTATCAGGCCCGGAATGACATATGAACCAATCCCTCCATAGAGAAAACATCAAAAATAAACTAGTCTGGTATATGTTAGTGTTAATGAAGTGGAGATGTATGGCTCAGAGTCTAAAAACATTTTTTAAATAGAGATAACAGCCGGACATTATAAAATTAGAAGGATTATAAAATCCCATGCATTTTCCAAGACACTACAGGTCAAAAGGGTAAACAATGTAGATATCACAATGAAACTTCCCCATTCGATTACTTACGGGGAAAAAATGTTTTGTATTACAAGTCTTCTGAAATGTTATGTTTGTTTATGCAAACTAGGCATTATCTGCTATATTTTGGTGAATTGGATAAATCTACGGACGTAAATAAAGTGTACTAACCTCAACATCATAATGTGTATTTTGGGGGCTTTCACTGGTCTGCATAAAACATGTTATGGAAGCAAAATAGCCCCAAAAAATGTATCTGGCCTGATTGTCTGTCTAGAGGTATATCGGCTTAAATAGCAGCTGAATGGAGAACCTACCAATGAACTGCTTTCTCATCTTATCCCTCTGCCTGAGGTCATCTGTGCCGAAGATGAGGGCGTTGATGACACTGAGGAGCGTTACCATGTAAGGTACGTTATCTGTGGCCTGCAGCTCATTCATGATCACACTGAAGCGATACTGCTGCGTCTTCACGCCCTGAAGGGAGAAATCAATCATCCACTTCACTGAGGAACAATGTGATTCCACAGGATTATAATGCCTGTGCATCCAACCCACCACTAGAGGGCACTGTTTAGGTATTTATCATTCAGAGTGGTGATGTGGTATCATGTGAGGTAAATACAAATAACTTAAGAAAGTTGGTAGTAGGACTTTTTCATGTTCATTTACTTACCTTGTAGTGATCCAGGGCATCCAGAGCCAGGCGATGGCCGTCTGCAGAGAACACGCTCAGGGCAGCAAGAAGATCAAACACCTGCTTCTTCACCATGGTGTTGGAAGTGTCCAAAGCTGTGGAGCAGCATGATCACACACATCAATACAGTTCAAGCTCTTGTATTTTTCATCAGTTTGTCTTTGAGAAAGCCCCTATCTCCCCTCTTGTAGTGTAGTCCCGAGCAGGATGCTTTGTTTCACAGATCTTTAGGCAACTATAGTTGAACTTTGCCCCCTGGGGATGTTGCGTTGTATAGTAGATAATAATAATAATAATAGATTTAATTTGTTAGCGCTTTTACAGGTGCTCAAAGACGCTTTACAGATAATAGTGAAGAAAAAAGAAAAGAGAAGATACACATGTGTTTTTCATTGTAAGTGTCTGAGGGGGGGGAATCCAATATTCATGACTCACTGTGATATTACATTTTTAGGGATTTTTTAAGCAACACTTGATGATTCATCTCTGTGCATAAAGAGGAATTGACTGGAAAATTGGAAAAAGCTCAGCACAGTGAGTTATGACCCATTACATAATATTTAAAATCAAATGCAGCATCCCAAAAATGAATATCTTTTGAAAATATTTTTGACTAAATTGTAAGTATACTTTAAAATATTTTTGGGCCACTCTTGGAGTACGGTAGATGATAATTTTTTTAACAAAATGAGGTGTATGGTCAACCTTGGGAGAGCTTCCGGATGTATCCCTCGTTGTCTATGATGAAGTGGATCCCTGCAGAGGAGTTCATGACAGCCCGGACGCAGTTGACACAGGTGAGCTGCAGAAGGGCATCGGCAATGCGAGAACACCCCCGCCCCGAGAGCCGATCCAGGGCCTCCAGGAGGAGATCCAGCCCGCTGAGCTCCAGGAACTGGATCATCCATGTTTGGTCGCTGCCCTCCAGGCGCCTCCTCAGCCCTGAGTAGTTGACCACGGTGGGGACTTGCAGCAAGCGGATGCACAGTTCTGGGTCAGCGCTCTCCAGGTTGGCCTCCTGCTGGGTATCTGAGTCCTGCGAGGAGCCCAGGCGACCCCTGACAGCCGCCCACTTCATCTTCCCATCTGACTTCCCCGACATGATGGCTGTGGAGGACAGAAGGGAATGTTCACCGTTTTTTTCAATGTGTGCAGATGACAAGAGACCATTTTTTATTATTTCTTAAAAGGTTTTGGAATGCAGATGGCATGTATTTGCAACCCATATCCAAGGGATTTTGTCCAGTTTTACAGTGTCATCGTTGTTATCCAAACTAGAGGAAGCAGGCCAATACAGGACGTTATCAGAAGGGAAGCAGAATAGGAAAGGATAACTCTGCATTTTTGTAGATGAGTAAAAGATATGTCAGCAGTCCAGTCACCACAGCTCTGCCAAACATTCCTATTTAATCCTGTTAGAAAGAGCCTGGCTCATCATTGTCTGGTCAGTGCCTATTGCAATTTACTGTAAAAATAAATGTATTTTCAAGCTCCCTGCTGGAGTATAAACATTGGAAAATATGCACAAGGCAAAGAACTGTGCAGGAGAAACCTTTCACAACATCACATCAACATGAAGGACATTGACATGAATGCCCACATTGATCAGACATCAGACAAGGGCCCTTTAGTGTTATAACCTCAGAGCACAGCCTCCTCCTTTACCAAGCGTCTAAATACTTTCTACACCAAAAGCATTGTACTAGTATAAACATGTTCCCACACTCTTATGAAATCAACAGCCTGAAGGTTCCGGCAAAATAATCAGGAAAACTTTCTCCAAAAGTCTAAAAAGACTTTCTCTCTGTGCTGGAGTTGTGATATTAGGTGGTCAAGAATAAAAGAACAAACAGGAGTGTTTCTTCTGTCCCCTGTTGTTGATTTCACACTTGGCAAACATAAGATATACAGAGGAGGCATTGAGTGAGGAGTGTTAACAAACACATTGCTCTGTTCACTGAGGAAAGAATTATTAGTCATCCTCTATTTTATCATCTAGAGACAATGTAAGGCCCTACTCGGGAAGCTTTTTTGCACAGTAAACTAAACACAGTAGAAATCCGATTGGCATTTCTCTCTAGAGGTAATTTCATTTAATTTCTAACCTTTATTTAACCAGATTGGTCCCATTGAGATCATAGATCTCTTTTTCAAGGGAGACCTGCAGCAAATAGGTTCCACATGAAACATAAAACAACATAAAACAATAAAGGACATCATACATTATATTTACAGGCTACATTTACATAGTTATCGACATGTACAAGTACCCATAGTATCAAAGAGCATTTCATTTAGCCTAGCTTTAAAAATACGCAGAGGAATGAGATTGCTCAGTTTAAATTCTAGCTGAAGATTGTTCCAAGTAAGTGGAGCTGCGCACATAAAAGCTGTCTTACCTAAGACAGTCCTTGCTCTTGGCACATCTAACATCATCTACATCATGCGATCTCAGACAATAGCTGCTTGCAACTCTCTGTGTTATCAGAGAGCAGATATAATACGGGAGTTTACCCAACAAAGCTTTATAAATAAACATGTACCAATGACTGAGCTGCCGTACAGTAAGTGATGGCAAACCTGCCTTGGCATACAGGGTACAGTGATGTTTAAGTGCTTTACAATTTGTGAAAAATCTCATGTTTAAGTGCTTTACAATTTGTGACAAATCTCAGTGCGCTGTGATAGGCGGCATCTAACTTGTTCAGGTAATAGGCAGGTGCATTCATATACAACAAATCACCATAGTCCAGCACAGGTCAAAAGGTCACAGTGACTAGCATTTTCCTGGCTTCAAATGAGAAACAGGACTTGTTTCTGAAAAAGAAACCTAGTCTAACCCTCAGCTTTTAAAGCAGGTTATTGGCCTGAAGTTTAAAAGTGAGACCATCATCAAGCCAGATACTAAGGTATTTGTAACAGGCAACCGCCTAAATCGCAGCCATTCTACCTCTGAGCCTGATTTCCTAGCCTTTGCCCAGGCCTTGTTTCTCTCATGTAGGAGACTAGACGTCCCTTCACTCTAAATGTACGCAGGGGTGCATGTCTATCCATAATTTCCATAAAACCAAGATAAAAATAAGAACATGCAGTTTCAACATCAGCACACAGATCGATTTTACCCCAATCAAAACCAAACAGATCATGTACAAAACCCTGCTCCACAAAATGTTTTGTGTCTCTCTTTATGACAATGCGAGGTTTAGCCTTTTGGACTTTTGTGTCCCTAATTGTGGCTACAACACAGTGGTCACTCAAATCATTAGCAAATACTCCCACAGATTAGTATTTATACTTGTAATTTAGCAAAGTAATGACTCGAGAAAAATCCGACAAATTGGATTCACTCCACAGAGTCAAGGTACAATGAGGCTTTTTTTCATTGCACACATATTTTGGCACAGCATTTGTCGGCTCTCTGACTGCAGCATTTTCAGTCCTGCTGCCAGTGTGAGTGTTACCGTGGCAGCAAGCAGGCGGACAATGATGTTTTACAACAGGCCTTCACAATACTCTTCAAAGAGCCAGTGTTCATTGTCCACAAAATGGATGGACGGCTCCCTGCCCCCTTTCAAGCTAATAAGGGTTGTGCCCAGAAAACAAGTTAAACACTTTCCGATTTGTTACATTTGGCTCTCATTCTCAGTGTGACCAGGAAGCGAAAGTTACAAGTTGATGATTGCAATCTGGAGAATTTCGTGGGAAAGTCAAGAACATTTTGAAACTACTGAGTTTTGGTGAAATCGAGTCACGCCTTGCAGATTCAGAAGTGTGAGTAAGTCACTTCCAATGAAACGGTGTGTGTATGAACTGTACTCCCCCGTATGGCACAGGGAGTTTTCATGAGGAAGGAAAGGACAATCCTAGGACAGGAAATTTGGCTTGAGATAAACATGGGGGGTGTGACAGCTCCTGTTCCTCTTTTGAAATGTCCGTTTCATTCCTAGGATGATGATTTGTTTCTAATTAGAGGGATATTTTCAGAGATCTAGGCTTCATGTCAAGCTGTGTCAAAGCTCAACTATAATGAAAAAAAAAACACATTCTTTTGAGCACTCCCAACATATCAACAACTTTCAATCGCCGACCTCGTCTGCCAGCTCTCCCACATGGAGCACTAATAGCAGGCTGATTCACCGCATCCAGGAAGAACCTACTCATCTGTCCTTCGGTTAAACCGCCCACACACAGCCCACTGCCACTGTACAGCATCAACCTTCTGAAAAATATGTCCACTGATTTATTTCCTCAGACATATGCAACGCTTGCAGACATGGTTCATTTTTACTGCAAATGTTCTGAGCAACTCGGCAAAAATAAATGTGTGAATTTACTAATCGAGTGTGGATTACTAAAATATCATGGACCAGTTAAGAAATTACCTCATTCTGTTCCCTTCCACTAAAATACACATAGATTGGAGATAATTGATGGGTATACATATTATATAAGATGTAGACTGTACCTTTGAGCCCTGAAATAATAATAATGTTAGATTTCATGGAACAGTATGTGTTAATACATGTCAAATATGTGGCTTAGTATTGCATAATAGATAATTATTCCCCATTAATTCATGCCATAAAGTCTGATACTTGACAGAAGGATTATAACAACATCTGGTAGTCGTTTAACAAATATCCTGATCCTCCTCTCTTCCACTCTTTGCTATTTAAGAGAGTGACTGAAATGCCTGCAAAGTCTACAAGCACATTTTGGAGTTAAATGTATCTTTTAGTTTTAGTTTATTTTATTCCTAGACTTTCTGTAGAAACCTTAAGCAATTGTATGATTGATTTAACCTGTTCAAATGTAAAAAAATAAAAAAAAAACGTGGACATTGACAGCTCATATGGTCCAATACACAGCTTTAAAACTGGCATTCTTAGTTCATGTGGATTTTGGCAAGACAGGTTTTTTCCTCACTGCCGTCTTCCTCTTTATTCTGTCCGAGGCAAGGAGGTTCAGAGGGAACAGTCGATCCCCACCTCCAGGGTGGATCGACAAGACTGACACAGACCAGAAAACAATTGCCAGTGTGTCAACCTGTATTGATCCTTTGCTTAATATGATAAACAAACGGTCCTTAAATAGCGACATTAACGGTGCAACATCATTACTTTGCGCTGCGATTTCCCCCCACATACCATGGGGTATAACGGGACCAGTCACATTACAGTGGCGAGTAAAATTCACCAGAAAAACACAATAATAGTGGTTATTACTTCAACACATGACACATCCTTATTCCTTATTGAATCGTTATAGATAACCTATGACACCTTACCTGGTTTTATTCCATAAATATGAAGACACTTGAAGAATTGCGTCCTCTGATGTGTCTCAGATGGGGAAGCGCTTTGCAGTCATCCGGACAACCTGTTATTTTCTGCCAAAAAAATGAAACATGGACCCATGAAAAATGAGGCACTGTGTGGCAGATCCTACCCCGTGTTGTTTTGCAGATGGCACCGTTTTTTCAAATCCTTACAGCCCTTGCGCTTCATTCACTTGAGTGAGAGTCTGACGGTGTCACAAAAACAGCAACATTACCGAGGATGACATCCGCTCAAAACTTTCAGAATAAAAAGCCAGAGCGGCTGAAGTGGGTATTGTGAATACAAACTGTATAATAAGTGTGGTTACAATAAAACGCCCCAAAAATATGTTAGTAATTGTTTGACAAACGTAATATATTTTCAAGAACTGGCCTAAATGTCAGTTTGTGTAGACTAGTCCTACAGATCTCAATAAAATACCAAATAAAAGTAATAACTAAGTTAAAGTGAACTCATGAACAGCTATTATTGTAGCAATAACATTGTAATCAATAAAGTAAACATAAAGTTTGAGTCGACAAAATAAACAAAATGTAACCACATAAAACCAGAATTAGCCAAACAGAAGTGACAGAATTAGCAACATGTTAGCTTTCAACTGCTAACGCTTGTATGGCTAACTAAGCAGTAGTCCAACAAATAATGACCGTTTAACATCTCAATTACGCCAAAAGTAATTAAAATGGATTACCTTCAGATGCTCCAACCACAGTATTTGGGTAGTTATCTAAATAAGCCTGTTCACTTGGTTACTCCTTGCTCACAAATCTGTAACAATTTCGGTTGAAACTGCTAACGTTAATGGGTTACTAACAGCATCATCAAACTGAACATAACGGCTGGAGCGTTAAACTAATATCTAAGCAGTTTAATACAAAATTTAAAAAAAGTTTCATAACTTATTCAAACTCAACAGTGTTTTAAATCAGTATTTTGTTTTGAAGGCAAACTTCCGTGTTTCCCGGTATTATTGTGCTTGCCGTTTTCTGACTTGAAGCTGTTTGTTATGCAGCCAGTGGTTGTGGGCCCTCCACCCCCACACCATCCCATCAGCTGGATCTGGCCTCCCTGCTGGAGGGAAGTTAACTAGGGTTCCCCAGACTCTAGCATCGTCCAAAATGCCCAGAGTTCAACCTATTAAAACTTACTTTTGAGTTAATGTAGGCTAGTTGAGTGTTTAAATTTGAATCCAGGATCGAGACACAATCTGGAGACATCTGTAGGCCATATCTTTCCTACATGATTTTTTTACATGGCTTCAGGGTTTAAGAATTGTGTAATCTTTCCCAAAGCACGTTTTGCGACATTACTTTATTGATAGAAGGGAATAAAGAGGTATAGGCCAATAGTTGCATACAGCAAAGACATACCAACACATAGAGCACAGAGATAGAAAGACAATCTACAATGTCTACAATAGTAATTTTGTTTGGATCTGTAAGTATGTTGAGAATTTCAATTACTGTAGTAGGCGTACCGTTTTGTCATTTACCTGGTGACTAAGCAATGCTATTTAGCTAGAGTCTGACTGCTCCAGAGAAAGCGTAGCTATAATTTAATTGTATTGTTGAGCCACTTTAGATTCCTATTGCCATAGTGTCATCTTTTGTTTGTCCAGAGGAACATTTGGCTATATCAGGAAGACCACTGAGAAATCAGCAGCATCGATTCAAATTACAACACCAAAGAATATGCAGTGGTATGCATTTTCATGGAAATAATGGCCACCCACGAGCCTGCTTTGTTTCATCAGTACAACAAAGCTATTGAGCAAATATCATGCTCTCATCAAAGTCAACAACTTTCTTGCTTGGCTAGTTAAACAGGATCATGTAATCAAGCTCGAACTAGCCTTAAAAGTGAAAGCCAATAATATTTCCATGTATTTTCCTGTACACACATTCACAAATTAAAGCACAAATTGACTCTTCCAAAACCTTTTACCACATGGATCTCTATGAGGGTGTGTCAGTGATTATAGGATTTAGTTTTGTGTTTTGCCAAGGTGGTCAAACAGCTCCTTAGGATGAACATTTTGAGAAGAGGCAATTTTTTTTTAGATACCCTGAAGTGGTAGTTTGCAAACAGCATGTAAGTACATAACCTTTAATCACATTTTTATAAAAGATTGGTTTACATTTTAATAATCAAATAATTATGTGAACATAACCAATAACCTACCATAGCCAATAACAAATACATGTAACTTAGGCCTATTTTATTTTTGTTGTTCATTCATATCTTATTTGACCTAGATAACATTTATTTATGCATATTTTTTTATCTCTCCAGTTTTAAACGATATTTTTGGTCTAATGTAGCCTAGTATACATTGAAATTATTTCAAAGCTGTTTATCCCAATAATTATAAAAGAGTGCCTTAGAAATATTTGTTTACATAAATTGTGATCAAAATGTTTGAGACCCACTGAGATAACTGAGTTAACTAGGCTATCTAAACACTCAGAGTCCTTTACCTCACTGAGCCTCTCAGCCTAAACCCTTGTTGTAGAAACATCTTCTTCTTATCCGTTAGAGCAGCTAGCACCAGATGCTATATGCTATGCTGATAAGCCAACATCCCCCACTTTCATCACTTACAGCGCCCATCGTACAAGGCAAATTAAAAGTGTAACCGGGGTGAAAAGGGTGTTACATTGACTTAATTATGAATGTTGTTACATCTAGGCCGAACATTAGGATGAGGCGAGCACCAACGGTCAAAAAATGTTTTTCCCTCCCAGAGCTACCAGCGCAGCAGATAACCAGAGGTGGGAAGTAACTAAGTAGATTTACTCAAGTACTTAAGTACAATGTTTGAGATACTTGTACTTTCCATTTCATGCTACTGTGTACTTCTACTCCACAACAGTTTAAAATCATTTCCACAAGTTATCTGCTTTCCAACAGTTTAAACGATTACTTTGAAGTAGTGTGTAAATACCAGAGGTGTAAAGTAACTAAGTCCCCTTACTCAAATACTTTACTGTGCACTTCTACTCCTCTACAGTTCAGAGGTAAATGATATTACTTTTTATACTATATATCCTAACGGACCCCTCAAGAGTTAATGGTTCATACACCACACTAGCCTACAAACTAAAAGTGTCCCTTAAAAGCACAACATTTTAAAATATGGCTACAACAACTAAAATACCCAGATGAAATTGTCCTGGGTGAAGACATCCCCACAGTAGAGTTTTCTGTTTATATTTTAAAATTGATACAAGGTGTTGTCGGGATAAATTAAGTAGGCTAATAGCAGACTTCACCATGATTCAAATGTAAACAAAGGTGGATCCCAGCAGTCCCGAACAAAAACAACAAAGGTGTAAACTTTTCCAATATCCTGTGGAGCCTGACACAGGCTGCTGTTATAAAGTGATTATTATCAAAGATATATAAGAATGTGTGTTTATGTTGGCAGACTTGCAATACATAATTGTAGTACATAATACATAGTTTAGGCTACAGGAAAGAACTTGAGATAACTTTAAAGAAAGTGTTGCTGTTTCATCATTTGTCCAACAGAGAGCACTCTAAACGCACCAGGGTGGAGTGCAACTGAGCATGTTTTATTCATAAATAACATTTATTTAGTCCACTTATTTAACATGCATACACTTATGTACCTGTGTTTATGTGAAAGAAAACAGCCAATACATAATTTAGTTTAGTTTTTACTCCAAACCTCAAAAGTCAATAGGGTTGTATAGAATGTGTTGACATAAAACATATAGTGGTTGAGAAACACAATGCAGTTCAACAAATTGATAGACTTAATTAGGGCCATAAATAAAGCAAAAATGTAGCTATTATGATAAAAAATGCTGACTGGATCTTTAATGACAGAAGTGAAACAAATAGACAAGGCTAGTGTAAAAAGTAAACATTAAACACCTGGAATAAATTGAAAGTAATACCTGCCTATTTTATCACTTGTTAGCAGCCAAAACAAATACAACACAAGTCAAAAAGGTTAGGACTTATACAACCTATTTTTCAATGTAAATGATATGGTAAAAATGCACAAAATATCAACAGCAATGCAGAACAGAGCACAGCAGAGCAAAAACTACAATTCCCAGGATGCAGTGCACATCCCAGTTGAAAGGTTAAAGACGTCAACCGCACGCTGCCGGGAACGAGGACAACAACAAACCCCTGAATTAGCCAAACGTTAGCATTGTGTTAAAATATCTTATTTTTCTGTGTTGATACTGTTTTTTTATTTGTGAAAATGTCGAAAATGGCTAAGGATATCCTAAAGATGGACCTTTATGGTTTACTCGGAATTGACATCACTGCTACACCAAAAGAGGTATGTATGTAAGCTAGCTGTTAAGCTAATTAGCTAGATAGACATACGTTACTTTAGATCAGATGCATACCAGTCTGGAGGATGTCCTTTCGGTAGAACGTTTATCCGAGTGCTGGCTAACATTACATGTAAAACGCGTTTTTACTTGCACAAGAACAGACTGTACGTGTGCTGCATTTCACTTCAGAAGGCTATTTTAGCTTCTAGTTACCATGCAGCTTGTAACTGTGGGTCTGTGGTTATATTTCCCATGCATGTGTACTAACGTAACATAAAATAGTATTTTCTTCTTTAAAGTGAAACACCAGGTAAGTGAAGCGATGACTGAAATTGTAGGTTAAATGAGACCTCAAGTAGCAAAAGACTTGAATCGCAGAAGTGTCATACTCGTAAAGGCCACTTGGTAGCGACGTTACAACAGTATTATTTGGTATCGAAATGTAATACAACAACCGCATGAGGTGCATTTTGAATGAGAGGTGGATTTACATTCTAGGGCTGCAACTATTTGGGAAATTGTGTTCATCTACAAGCTATTTTCACTGTTTAATAGTTTGGTTTTTGAAATATCAAATTCAATAAATAAAAGTCAACTACAACATTGCACAGATTAGGGAGACGTCCTATGAGTTTATCATCTCAATGACACATCGAATAATAAACGAATTGTGTTAGTTTGGAACATTTACAAATAACATGGACATGAGATTCCATTAATTTTTTTGGGTCTGACTACTTAATTTATTCTTAATTTAAAGCTCAACTAATGAATTACATCTGATGAGGCCTAGTAACATGTTGTAATACTACAGGAAGCATTTATAAGACAAGGTTCAAGGCTTTTATTAGTCATACCTACATAGCTACAGTGTAGTTATGACAATGAAAATCTTAGGTCACAGGCTAGATATGTTGATTACTTGCACACTACAAACCACATTTTGCCTGAATTACATTTTGTGCATGCATGGATTTTGATTTAACTCTTCTAAATGACTAAAACCTGCTTTTACCCTAAGACTTTCTTTCTCTCACAGTATTCAGTATCTTAAATCCACAAGCCCAAAGGAAAATTAAAATTGTGGCAAAATGGAGGCAGGAAGTGACAATTTTAACAGATTTTTAAGTCCACAGGATTTTTGTAGAGGAAGTTAACGATTGTGGCTTGGGTAGGACTGAGATTCTAAAATACATAAAGATGGTGTGTGTGTGTGTGTGTGTGTGTGTGTGTGTGTGTGTGTGTGTGTGTGTGTGTGTGTGTGTGTGTGTGTGTGTGTGTGTGTGTGTGTGGG